TGGCCCTGATCAGGTTGAGGCGGGGGATTGAACCCCCACAACCCCTGTGCCGGTGGCCCTGCAACTTGCCCCACCCCCGTCTGGCTGGACCCCGCAAATGGATCAAGGGTAGTCTCGGGTCGAGTAAATGCTGGGCTTTGTTGCACACCTTGGACCGTCGTTTCAAACTGTCTCTGGTAGGGGTTCATGGCTGGGGCTGCAGATCCAGAACTCAAGCCGCAATGGACTGCGGAGACAAGAAACTCGCACTAGAACTGTTTGGGAGTGCATCCTTGGCTCCCCAAGTTTCCTAGGTCCTAGGTCAAAGCCCTTGTTGTTTGGCGCGTTTCCATCAGTCCCTTCGTCAAAAACACGGTCGCCTATATGATCAGTGCCGAGTGCTTTGCGTGCACATCCACTCCTCAGTCTTGTTCGCGTACCTGTCCAGGAGATGAAAAGCTTGCTTGCAGTGAACGTGGCCCCTCAATGACCATGCCACCACATTACAGTAACTGCAGAGGGGCACAATTAGAGCTTCGCACTCTGCGACGCAATAGATCAGTCCAAGTGTTCTTGTCGCGTAGCTGTGAAGCTCCCGCAGCTGTTAATCTCACAAAAAATGTTGAATGTCCCTCTCTCCATGTCACCAAAAAGAAGCCTTGGGATCCCATTTCTGTTGGATCATCATCCTAAACACAGACCCGTCGCACATGGCTTTGGAGATCAATCGCAGATCCACCAAGGAGTTGCTGCACAACTGAAAAGGGGAAGGCCTCAAGAAGGTCAAAAGCTGCAAAAAATTGAAAAAGCCCCTTTGAAGAGGCCAGAGGCCCTTTCCGACTCTCCTGTTTTAAGAACCTGTTTCAGAAAAATTCAAGTCTCTGAGTTGAGGTCTCCATCTTGGCAGAAACATGGAGACTGGACCATCAGTCTAGATGGATGTTGGTACGTACATACAGTGCCTTGAAATCATCAATTCCATGACAGGTCCAGCATGGTCTAGCTGTGCTATCAACACTTTGTGTGCGATCTAAGGGTGGCTCGAACCTGCACCGGCCACATAGTACATCATCAACCTGCAGATTACGAGAGCTCAATTAGGCTCAATTGCCGCTGCAGCTCAAGATGTGGAACCCGGTGAGGTTGGTCTTCAAGAACCAAACCCTCCCAATGCCACGTAGTGAAAGTGTACAGGTTCTCTTTGAGGAGAATCGGCAACGCATGGAAGATATCCATTGAGCGCCCATGAAAGTGACTTAGTGCAAGACCCAGGGTTCCACTGTGTAGAAGACCCAAAAACGACTTCCGATTGTGGAATGGTTTTTCATGTCTTTCCTGAAAAGAAGAACTCTTTGACAAGTGGCCACCGAATCCCGCATCTGGTCCCATCACCATCTTCTCATCAGGCACAACATCTTTTCTGCCAGGATTTCCTAAGCCGAGCGGCTGGTAAGTTCCTGCATCTAAGGGGCCAATCATATCAGCGTAGCCATGTGCTGTGACCTGTCACAAGGACCCGCAGTGAGTCAAATTGCGGTGTTGAGACTAGTTCTTCACATGCCAGATACCAGAGTGTGTGAGGAATGGTTTCTGCTGAATGGTTTCTGCTTGGACATGGAGAAACCTCGCTCTTGTACCCTTGCGCCCTTGCACCTGCGCACCAAGACACCGGCGCACGGAGCAACACTTCGAACTCGTGCTTCCACGCCTGGTTGTCTGCCACATGTCTTCCCTCGAACTTCACCTTTGCCGGCCGAATTCGCGGTTCACCCATTCTCGATCAGGCATGGAATCCGTCAGCGCCTGGGGATCGCACGCGTTTTGGAGAAAATGGAGGTTGGAAGTTCACCGTCGAAGCGGCACAAAATCACATAGGCGGGTCACCCCGGCTTCCCGCTTCACAAACGAGTCAGAATGAAAAGACTTTTGCATCACTGGCCTGAAAACGGAGATCTGAAGAGATGTAGTCGGAATGTAGCACCATGCCTGGCCAGTCTGAAAAGCCACGCGAAACTCACGGTGACCGGTGGACGTACACCTGCACTTGGATGGTGACTGGTGTATCAGCTGATAAAGCCCCCAAGAGAACAGGACTAAATAAATGCGAAGCGCCACGGAATATAGAATCCATGCAAAAACCTGGGTTGGACAGTGCTGGCATGCCTAAACTGAAACCCTGGCCAAGCCATCTATCTCTATGGCACATTGTTCATCTGGCAATCTGGTTGCAAGCCAAGAACGCAAGTCTCAACTGAAACGAGCTAATAAGATTCGTCAGAGTGACGCAAATAGAGCTTGTGGGCTGCATCCTACGCATCGGCGGGAACGATGTGAGTGATTGTTTGAACCTCGCCTCTTCTCTCCTGTTTTTTTTCCATCTCTCCCCCCCTCTCTCCCTCTCTCCCACTCACTCTCTCTCTCTCTCTCAGAGCTTACCTTGAGTGCCCTTCAGTGCTACTTGAAGTCTCTATGCAAGGGTTGAGCTTGGGCTTGGGCTTGGGCATGCTAATCTGTGGCTCGAAAGCTTTAAAACCGGGAAGCTTGGCATGATAGCTTTATCGACTATCGAGTTTCTACTTTATCAAGATGCCACAGTGCGGCATTCCAGGCCTGCTCTGAAATTGTCACCTGCTGATTCCAAACCTGAGAACGCAACCAGAATATCCTTCACACCCCCAAAATCTTAGCCTGTATGACACAAACTCACAAACGTTTTTTCCGCACCAAACTGCGTCTTCTCTTGTGTAGAGCCTTGTCCAATGATGTCGCGGCAGCGGGGAGAAGAGCACACCATCTTTGGGGCAATGGACGTAGGCTGATGGTAATGACTCTGTTTAAGGTGTTCCTTTACCGCAGGATGTCACAAGTGGTCAAACACACAAGATGTTCAAGAAACCATTTTACACTTTCTGAGCGGACTCAGCAACCTTCTCCCGCTCTGGGGCAATGGGTCAGAACGAGGCCCGGACTGGCATGATTGCAGGCTCCTTGGAAAAGTCGATGGGAACCTCCAATCGGCAAGGATGGAAAATTCGACACCAAAGTTTGAATTTGCCCAAAGAGTACACGATGGGAGTGGTACTGGTGGTGAGCTTTTCAGCTTTCACTGACCTTTGAACCTATCTAGGCTAGCCGAAATACTGTTTTGCTTTCTGGTCTCGAACTGTGCTCACCCAAGTACAACGCCGTCACTTCTAGGCAAAGCACATACATTGCAGCTCCTGACCAGTCGCGTTTCGCGGTCGACCTTGATGCTGGTCCACCTCGGTTGGGTCACCAGCTCCAGGTTCCGCTGCACCTGCAAAAGAGTGGCTAGACTCACTAGACATGGAGGCTTTCAGGATAAGGTTGGCTTCATAATCAAGCATCAAATTAGGGAGGGCTACTCAGTACCGCATGCCCATTCATTTGCAGTTGTGGTCCACTCAACTTTAGCCCTTCAAACGGCAAGGCGGAATGTATGCCAGTATGCCAGACCTTTCTCCGCGATCCATGGCCAGGGTAGTCGTGGCAAAACATTGTGCCAACTCCGGTAAAGCCAGAGTGCGGGAGAGGCCCGACAGTTTACACGTCGATCAAGTGAAAGGTAGCAGATAGCCTCCAAGTCGCCAAAAGCCTATGAAAGTCTCCAAGTCGCCGTATGAGAAGTGATTCTCAAAGCTTTAACCATCTTTTATCTTTCCGGGTATCTGCTGATCAACCGCAGGGCTGAAATGATCTGGCAGCTTAGGCCAGTCGCAACGTCTTTTTGACACACGAATGGTAGATCAGCCAACGAGCAACCACTAAAGACCTGTCTTGGCAACCGAAATCGAAATCATTCTGTGCCGCTTTCAGCACATGACTTTCCACAAGCAGTGAATGTTGGCTGTTTCCAGTTTCGCACGGATATTTTGCTCAGCAGATGGAGGCCTGGGCGAGCGAGTTTGTTCTCCACAAGTCCACGACAATGGGACCCTGAGATCATGTGCTTTGCTGTGATCCGTCAAGCGACCATGGTTTGAAGGCTTCAATACAGGCAGAGCTATTGGGGGGTGGGGGGGCACTCGAAGGCACTTTCACATGAAAGACATCGATTCCATGTGGATTCTTCATGGACGAATTCTGCACCCAAAGAAGGAAATTCGAAAAGTCGAGTTGAGTACAACACGATCCGCACAGTACGTAGTATAGTAGTATCCCACCAAGACTCAGTGCCAAGAGACTTGGCCTTAAAGTCACTGAACTGCATGCATCGTCAGCTTGCAAAAGATCTGTTCACCGCCTGCAAGAAGTCAGTGGTGAGTTCTCAGCTGGCTCCGAAATTTACTCACAGAGCATGATTCTATATTGGGTGATCATATTGTCATATTGGTTGCCACTCCATACTGTATGCCATCAAAAAGGAAGAGGAAGAAGAGGCACAGGTTCGGAAGAGGACGAGGACAAGGAAAGGGAAAAGGTGCCCAATGTGATCTAATGTCCTCGCCTTTCATCATCAGGGGTCTTGGTGCTTCATCTGATTCCTGACCAGTCTTCTCGGAGGAAAGTCTTTGCACGTTGGCTGTGGTTGAACAGCACTGCTGTACCGTCACCCCAGTCTGACAAGAAGAATTCTCAATACCTCATCGAAACAAATCCGCTGGATTTCTGACACTTTGCGATGGTCGCAACTCCTTGCTATGTACAAACTCTGGCTCTTTAGCGGCGGTGACTTCTGCCATGCTCAAAGCTGTTCAACTGCATGCAAGCGCCGCCCTTCCATAGTGCTGTACCGTCAGAGAAGGTCTCGCAAGTTAGAATGTCTAGAGTCTAGCTGGACAGCAAAGAAGCTGGACCAGCACAATGCCGGTCCTTCGCAACGAACTCCGATATTGAAACCTCCATCTCATCTTTCACGCTGCCATCCTTCGGAAACAGAGCAAGCTGACGCTGGAGGAAAAGCTTTTGATCAGATGAACTGCCAGCAAAAACATCGCTTTTCACAACAAGGGCATCGCTATTAGGAGCAAGAATCTACTAGTAGCTCCTGGCATCTCTAGATGCTCTACTAGTCCTCAAGTTGAGAGATCAAATATATAATGCGGAAAGCCCACGAGACCCTGAGAAATAGAATCGAAGTAGGTTCTGTACCCTGCCCGCATGAATCTATCACCAGAAACCAGAACTCTGGAAGAGGTGGACAGTCATCCCTGGACAAACAACCGGGGCTTGACCAGCCAACGGGTACCGGGACTGGACCGGTGCATGGGGCCGTGGGGGCCGTTGGGGGCGTGGGCAGGAAACTCCTGTAGGGGAGACAAAGGACCTTAAAAGCAGAAAGTGGATGTAGATCTGAAATGGTCACTGATGTTCTGATGGTGGCTTTATGCACTGTATGTATGTAATACATATATATATATACAAATATCACATATCATATATCTGTGTGTTTGGGGGGGTATGACTCATGGCTACAGCAGCTGGCTAGTGTCGGTCTCAAGCTACCGGTGAAGGAAAATATCCTGGACATTCCCGGACCACTTCCGAGAGAGGATCTCTAGCTTTTGTTATGTCAGAGGGTTCCAGCTGTCAGCGCTAGGAGGAACGCAAAAGACAGTGCAATTCGAACATTGCCCAAGTGCATGCAGGGAGTACTCCAAACCGGACACAATCACACCTTCCTGAAGGGTAGCATACTAAGTTCTTTTTTAGAAAGTCAGGGGCTTCCTCATACATACTTCAAAAGTATTCCTCAAGAATGACCAACCCAAACGCCTGCCACTAGTGGATAATTCGAATGTTGCGGTCCTGCACAACTGAAATCTTCATTTTCTTTGTTTGCATCTCCTCCACGGTCATCATGACATGATTCTGGCTGCCAATGTCAAACTCTGGCCTCGAAAGCTAGCATGGGTGGAAAAATGCGAGGAGAGTGAGGCTTTTTACATCACTGCGGTGCTGTTGTCAATGAAGGAAGTTGATTGATCCAGAGGTGTGCAAAGAGCAAATTGGCACGTCACAGGGGGGAGTTGAAAGGAATTATTCCTAGGGTGATTTCATCCCACAGCAAGAAACCTTGCTAAAGCAAGAGTAACTCCAGCTAGCTGATGCTAGCTTTCGTGATTACACAGAGAACCCTCGGAGTCACAATTGTCCATCAAAAACAACTGAAAAACTCAACCACGGCTTGTCTGAACGCCTGAGGTTTTTTGTATTGCTGTGGTGTACAATGCGTGACCAGCTCATGCAGGGAAAACAAAGGCGGTCACCACTCCGAGGTGGATCGCCCTCCAGATGGAACGGTGGACGAAGCAAGCAAATCCAAAAGAGAGTTCGTGACTGCAAGCTGCAGTTCCATCATTAAGTTAAACAAAATGCATCTGTAGAGTGCAAATGTATGAAGTCTATCAAAGCAGTTCAGAATGCCGGGCTCGATATTGAACGTGTCGCAAGTGGAACTCGGCAAGGAGACACAAGCTGTTTTTTTCGTGCATCTTGGTGGCGATCCTGTTTGCCATCACTAGACTGTTACAGGAAATTCAGTGTATATATATATATATATATGGTTTCCCTCACACAAAAACAACATAAAATTAGCCCAGCTGGAGACCCCAATAGCAAGATACAAACCGGGACAAAAAGAAAAATCTGGAAACAGCTGCTGTTTTCAACACATCGACCATCTCTTCCTTGGACACCATCATCACATAACCGGGACACCATCACAAAATGACCAGGGCACCATCAAAACATGACCGAGACACCGTCACAACATG